TTTCTGTGTACTCACCATTCTTTTTGGAAGTGCAAAGATCCGTCAATGGAAACACTGGGAGGAATCCGCCACTAAAAACGACTATGATCGAGCGCAAGGTATTGCTTCCATTACATCTGAAAAATCCCTCCTTGATGGATTTAGTGATATCTTTAATATAATATGGGCTCTTCCACCTTCAGTGGACTAGGCTTTGATCTTGTTTTTCCAACCATTTCTTCTTAAGAATTAAAGTTTTACACAATGCAGTTCTGAAGAAAAAGTTTATCCATGTTCAAGAAGACGAGTTTATCAAGAATCGGTTTATGGGTATTGGAAAGGATTTGGCTTTGTTGGGTTGGATTGTAAGTTGATCTGAATCTTCTGTATGATTAAGCTGAAATCTAAAGCAGATCTCAGTTTATGATCTTTGCCATTTGCTCCCTTATGTTTTTTTCAGCATTCATTTTTCAAACAATTTTATGGATCAGTAACCAAAACAGATTACATCGCCATGAGATTGGGCTTCATTAAGGTGAGTTGATTGAAGTTTTCATTTCCATCTTTCTTTTACTCCTTTTTTTTTCAATAATGTGGGTATCCAAAGTTTAGTCTGACTAATCCCACAAACACCTACAAAGCATTTGTCCATAATTACCCGGCAAAGTTTTATTAGGAGTAACCCATTAAAATTGTTTGCATTGCAATAGTGATCTCTTACGAGTTAAGGCAATGCCAATGATTACCCTTTACGTTTTCATGTTTTTTGATGCTAAGCTTTGCTTCTGTACAGACTCATTGCCCTGGCAATCCAAAGTTCAATTTTCACAAGTACCTGATGCGTGCTTTGGAGGCTGATTTCAAGAAAGTAGTTGGGATAAGGTTAGAAGAATATTCTAATCTCATTTAAGATGTTTTCCCATGCTTTCCATTTGTTCTTTTCATGAATTTCTCTAATTTTTATATTCATCAACTGCAGTTGGTACCTTTGGGCTTTTGTGGTTATCTTCTTGTTGCTCAATGTCCATGGTAAGCTACGTTCTGCATTTCTTCTCAAGATTTCGAGAAATTCTACTGTATCACAGGAGATGTATCCCAATTCCCAAATCAATGAAAAATTGACAATCCAAGATTTCACAATGTTAAGAAAAAAAAAAATCCTGTACCTAAAACCAAAGTTCCAATTTCTTTGTACAGGATGGCATGCGTATTTCTGGGTAGCATTTGTTCCCTTTGCTGTAAGCAATTCAAACATCTTTACACTTTTGTGCTTAAAACTTTATTTATCTTTTTGGGAATGATTTCTTTCCCCCTATTTTAACAGCTTTTGCTTGCTGTTGGTACCAAACTGGAGCATGTAATAACACAATTGGCCCATGAGGTGGCTGAAAAACATGCAGCCGTTGAAGGGCAGGTGGTGGTTAAGCCTGACGATGACCACTTCTGGTTCCACAGGCCCCAAATTGTTCTCCTCCTAATACACATCCTCCTGTTCCAGAACTCATTTGAATTGGCATGTTTCTTCTGGTTTTGGGTAAAAATCTATCATCTTTGATATAAAGAACAAGAACTTCTGGTTGCTTGTATCTGACACATGATGCTGGTATAGGTGCAATATGGTTTTGACTCCTGCATTATGGGACAACTTGGATTCATTATCCCTCGACTCGTCATAGGGTAATCTACATTATAAAATCCTTACTCATCTTATGCTGGCATTCATGTTGATACAGATGGTTTTCTGATTGCTTCATTTTGCTTCTTCCTTTCAGAGCATTTGTTCAGTTCGTCTGCAGTTACAGTACTCTACCACTCTATGCAATTGTCACGCAGGTTTGCTCATAGCAGGATCTGATTTCTTACTTTATATGAAAAATGATGAAAGTTGTTAACTTATTATTTTCAATTTTGAAATGAAGATGGGAAGTTCATTCAAGAGTTCAATATTTGAGGAACATGTCCAAGAGGGACTCCTAGGTTGGGCTAAAACGGCAAGGACTCATGCTATGGTTATGCATGCCACCACCGGCTCCAGCCAGGTAGGTCATAAAGAGAATTCTGTTTCTGCTTCAACAGTACAGTTAGCAAGGGTTGGTGACCCGGAAGCTGCAGCAGAAGAGGGCAGAGGGGAGATCAAGCCTGAATCTTTCTCTGCCTGCCGCAAATGAGCAGTCGCTTATGCCTCGCATGACATTGTTGTACTAAATGCATCTTGTGTGTTCAAGCAAAAGAGAAAACGTTGTTGTGCAATGGAGTCGTGAGAGATGTAAGCAAGATTCACTTGTAAATTCTGTTGTACCATAGAATATATTTCACCAAGTTTGTAAGTTTTTGGATACATTTTCCTGTCTTTGGAATGTTGAAAAATCTGTGCTCCTTGGCATAAATTATTGGTTTAGTTCAACAATCAGACTTAACTATATAAATCAAGATTTGCTACTTTAACTCAGAAACTCCTGATCAGCATCACCAGAAGAGACTAAGAACACAAACCAGAAAACAAAATATTCCAGCTTCCCATTCTCAGTTTCTGCAGTGTGCTGATTTGGTCTTTTTGCAACTAGGTTGTAATCCTCGAACATATGCTACAGCCACGGGCCATTTAACTGATAGCTTCGATGTTATATAGAGGTTGTGAGAATCCACACACAATTCACCAACTGTTCAATTGTATCTGGATTTTAGAGGGACAAGAACCAGAATTTTGGGCAAGAGGTGCAAAATTTAATCTCATACAAATAAACACTACTTAATCTCATATAAAATTTAGTTTCTTTTTCATATAGTTACAAATATCAAATCAACATTAAATAAGGAACATATATATGATACACATGAATAAAATATCAAATCTAAATGTTAAATTGATGAAATATAAATTATATAAAGAATTACAACCATTATAAATGATATATAAGTTATAGTAATGTAACTTGATTTTGATTATTTTCAGATTTTTTTCCTTACTGTAATTGCATCAAACTGGAGGTCTTTCTTCAGTTTGCGTCTTCACTTCGGATGAACCTGCAAAGCCCCGAGATGGGTCATCGGAGTAGACACTCTGATGCTTAAGTCAGCAATAATCGGGTCTATCTCTGGACTAATGAAAAAGGAGTTTTAGGATGGTTTCAATTACCTTTCTGAGGTGGCCCTTGGGGGGTATTTATAGGCCTCAGTGAGGTGTCCACATGGCTTGCTTAACAGGATAATCGGAGTGTGACGTGTCCCTTAAGGCGGTAAACTCGAGATCGGGAAATTAAGAGAAATTCTGGTGTGGGCATGCTCACCATAACTATCATGCACCTGTTTGACTAGGAAGTGCTTCACTTTGGTTGTTAAGGAATTATACCAGTACGTCCGACGTCCTTAACCTTGGACCTATCCTTACACTATTTCCCCCTCGAAGTCATTCACTTGTGAATGATTAGTGTGGAAGATGAGTGTAAATGGGGGTAGTCAATATAAAAATGTATGACATGAAGTCGTGTTTTTGGCTGCAGTCGAGGTAAAAATGCATGACATAGAGTCATGTGTTTTGGGTCATAGCCAAGGAAAAAATGCATGACATGGAGTCATGTGTTATAGCCGTAGTTGAAGTAAAATTGCATGACATGGAATCATGTGTTATGGCCATAACCGAAGTAAAATTGATGACTCAATCATTGTGGCCAAAGCTGAAGTAATATAAGTGACGTGTGGTCATTATGACCGGAGCCGAAGTAAAATAGGTGACTCGGGGTCACTATGGCCGAAGCCGAAGTAAAATATGTAACTCGGGACCACTATGGTCAAAGCTGAAGTAAAATATGTGACTCGGGGTCACTATGGCCAGAGCTGAAGTAGAACTGGTGACTCATGGTCACTATGGCCGTAGTCGAGGTAGAACTGGTGACTCGGTGTCACTATGGCTGGAGCCGAGGTAAATAATGATGATCGGAGTCATAGCGGCTGAAGCCAAAGTACTAAGTAATGACCGGAGTCATGTGGCCGGAACCGAGGTAATAAGCAATGACCGGAGTCATAAGGGCCGGAGCCGAAATAAAAGTAATGATCAAAGTCATGTGGCCAAAGCTAAAATAAACTGTGTGACTCGGAGTCACTATGGCCGTAGCCGAAGTAAAGATGCATGACCCATAGTCATGTGTTATGGTTGTAGTTGAGAATGATGACCTGAAAATGACGACTCGAAAGTGACGATTTGCAACCTTATGAGCCATAATATTGGAAGTCAGACTTCTGAGAGTCATGCTCTATAGAGCTAGGATCAGAACCAGTTTTTGTAGAGTTGATTGAATGCCAATTTTGGTAGCTGGAGATGCTTACCACAGAATCTCACCTTGAGATGCCCATAAGAAAATCTTGGTTTCTCGAGTCATAGCATAAAATCAAACCCCTTTGAGGGTTGTGCTTTGCAGAGTTAAGATTGAACTGAGCTTTCATAGAACAAATGAGCTGAGAAGCTGATAGTTGATGGACGCAAGCTCTTGTAGATTGAATGGGCTAAAAAAGCCAATAGTTAATGGGCTCAAAGGCCAATAGTATTTTCTGATGAACTAATAAGTTTAAAAGCTAATAACATATTTCTGAGTCTTCCAAGCCAAGGAGTTAACAAACTCATGAGACCTGTAAGAATTCATTCTAAACATAGAACTTGACAAGATACCATTAGTTCATCAATAATCAATAATATATGAGATGCATCAACATTAAAGTGGCACAATAATTTAGAATTAAATATAAATGTATGTGGCATGAGTCATCAAAATAAACAATAATAAGATATGAATATTTAAAATATACTCAGGTTGAGTTATTCAAGCAGCAAATTAAACACATGCCAAGTAAAGTATAGAAGTTTATGTTTATGTATTCCCACTCCCCCTCTCAAAGAGAGATTTATCTCTTTAAGTTAGAACTAATAATAAAGACCACTAGCTCATGGATACCATTAGCTTGTAAATTATTCCACCATTTGTAGGAGGCTCCACAGATGTATAAATAAATGTCATTTAAGCCACTTACTTTTAGTTAAAACATGAAGAATATATTATATTCAATATATTTAATAAATAGGGGCTAAGCATATCTTATTGATGAATGGCCCATGAGAGGTGGAACACAAGATAGCTGGTGAAATGGCAAGCTGGTTGCAAGCTAGACCTGGGCTCAACTCTCATAAGGATGAGCTCAAGCAGTTGAGTTCATCTAAAGTTGTTTACCTCATCCAAGGTAGTTCACCTCGGACGGGTTAGCATGAGGATAAGCTCAAGCAGTTGAGTTCATCTTAGGTTGTTTACCTCATCCAAATGGGCTGTCATGAGGATGAGCTCAAGCAATTGAACTCATCCGAGGTTGCTTACACCATCCAAGGGAGTTCACCTCGGAATGGGTTGTCATGAGGATGAGCTCAAGTAGTTGAGTTCATCCGAGGTTGCTTACACCATCCAAGGGAGTTCACCTCGGAATGGGTTGTCATGAGGATGAGCTCAAGTAGTTGAGTTCATTCAAGGTTGCTTACACCATCCAAGGGAGCTCACCTCGGAATGGGTTGTGATGAGGATGAGGATGAGCAAAAGCAGTTGAGTTCATCCGAGGTTTACCTCATCCAAGGTAGTTGACCTCGGAATGGGTTATGATGAGGATGAGGATGAGCAAAAGCAATTGAGTTCATCTGAGGTTTACCTCATCCAAGGTAGTTGACCTCGGAATGGGTTGTCATGAGGATGAACTCAAGCAGTTGAGTTCATCTAAGGTTGTTTACCTCATCCAAGGTGGTTCACATCGGACTACCATCACACTATTCCCCCTCTGGGAGTCATCACTTGTGAATGATGTGGAGGTTATGTGGGTAGGGGGTAGTCCGAGTTAATCCAAGTTCGTTTGCCTCATATGGGGTCATTTGCCTCATCTGGGGTAGTTCACCTCAGACTAGGCTATCATGAGGATGAGCTCAAGTAGTTGAGTTCATCCGAGGGTATTTACCTCATCCAAGGTAGTTCACCTTGGAATGGGTTGGCATGAGGATGAGCTCAAGTAGTTGAGTTCATCCGAGGGTATTTACCTCATCGAAGGTAGTTCACCTTGGAATGGGTTGGCATGAGGATGAGTTCAAGTAGTTGAGCTCGGATTGAGCTCATCCGAGGATGTTTACCTCATCCAAGGTATTTCACCTCGGAACGGGTTGTGAGGATGAGCTCAACCAAGTTTTATGAACTTGTTTAAATTCCTAAGTCAGCACATGAAGTTCCTGTTGTTAAAGTCCAAAGCTGACCATATTATATGGTAAGGGTACAGATATATACACATATATATATATCTTAAGCTTAGTATCACAGTTAATAATTGTAACTTGAATAAATTATGAAGTTGCACTTTTTAATCATAGGTTCCTATTAGAAGTCATA